TCCTAAACTCAGATGACTTGAATGACTTCTTAAAAAGGTCTCTGATCAATACAAGGTCTCTGTTGTCCTTCAGTGGAGACTCTCTTCTTACCATGCTGTATTTATAGACTCTTTCAAGGTGTGGGTTTCTTGAGACTCAATGCAATGTGTAGAAAGGTTTACTCAATAGCCATTAGGCTTTCATTCACCTTGTTTCTTGTTTTTTAACACTGAATTTTTAATGTATTTCACAACAGTCTCGCAATTTAACACCGGATGCTATCGTAATGTGTGACATACACTATAGCATAGCGTAAACAGCATTATTTTTACGTTCATGACAAAAGCCACTTAAGGTCAAGTGTCAATTACAGTATATGGTCTATGATCATAAAGTCATATTATATTGTTCTCATGAATGAGAATTACAGCTTGTTGGATGAGACCACTGCACCACCTCAGCCCTGCTGTAACTCTGCATAATTAATAAGAGATTGAAACATAAAGTGTTTACCTACCATTTTTGTCAGCTCGGCGGAAAATCTGGGAGGAAAAAAAAACCATCATTATTGTTAATGCAATTGATTACTAAAATATACTCAAAAACAAACCAGGATACCAATTATCTCACTAATGTTTTGAGTAGAAGCATCACAAAAATGTCGTGGGCAGATGTGTTGGTCATGGTAGCATAAATGTCACATGCTAGTTCTTATAATTAGGAGTTCTACAAATACCTGAAATGTCTACCATTCTGTTCAATGCAAGAGAAAACAGTTTTGTCTTCAGTTACAACTAGAATTTCACCGCATTCTCAAAATTTTCATTTAAATGTAATTGATTTTTATTTTAATTGAAGTCCAAAACCCAACGTAACACCTGGTTACAAATACAACAATACAATAAATTAACTACGTACTACTTAATGAAGTTAGCATCATACAAGCTGATGCTGAACTCCATTAACAACAATTCCGCAAAGAGTATCAGAATTCAAATGTAACTTAACGCAACATAACTTCTTGACTTTACCTCATAGCAAAAGCTGCTAACATTGTGTCCCTTCGGGGGTTTGCTCTGTGACGTCGCTGTTTACCTACTGCGAAACTGAGATTTCAACGGAGCCCTTTCAAAATAAAAGTCCGTGTAGTGATACAGAGAATTAAGACCTTATAAGCTTAAAACCGTGATAAAAAACACAAAGCAAAGATAACAGTCTGACTATTCAACAACTCTGTTTTGTTTCTATGACTGAAACATAAGGAGGGTGTTTACATTGCCTATATATGGCATCGTCCTCAAGCACTGCTCCCCGGGCGCTGACCACGGCTGCCCACTGTTCACTTTGGTGATGGGTTAAATGCAGAGGGTAAATTTCGTTGTGCATGGTGTGCTGTGCTGTGCTGTGCTGTGTCACAATGACTAATAAAGATAAAGATAAGTTTAAAGATATCCACAGCGTTGGCAGGCATTAAACATGTTACTGCTTGTACAAGCTCCAGTCGGTTGAAAAATGACCAAGTTCACGTTGGCTGCTCCTCACATTTGCTATTTTAAAAGCTAAATGAAGATCTAGGTTGAAACGTAATCTACTGCTTACGATAATGTCTTGTTTGGTAGTTTTGTTTATCACGAGAACAATTATTACTCATGCACAGCTGGTTGTTTTGAATCCAGGTTGGTTGGGTTAATCTAGTCTGATTACATGGAACTCAGTGGAAAATAATAAATGCCTGGTAACACAGTGGGTTATTTAGACTGCAGAATACGTTTTTATTTTTGCTGTTACTTGTGTTGCTTTGGAGATAAAGTAAGAGAGACATGGTGGAGGTGGTTTGGACCCTTTGTGGATGTGTTGAGTAGTGATTATGTTGGACAAAGGATGAAGAAGAGGAGAAGAGGAAGACTTCAGAGGAGATTTGTGAATGTGGTGAAAGGGGCATGGCGATGGTTGGTGTTGAGAAAGCAGGGATGAGATGGAGACAGATGATCCACTGTTTTATGACCCCAAAAGGGAACAACCAAAAGAAGAAGAAAAAGAAGATTTATGTTGCTTTGGAGATGATCAAAAGAAGTTCAGCCACAGAAATTGGATTCTAAGTTTGCAATCACATGGAGCATCTCATGTGTAAAGAATTCCCCCTGCAGATCAATAATGTGATTCTGATTCTGATTATGGCATGACGTGACAAGGACTACAGGAAATCAAAAGAAAATGTTTAAAGGATTACCAATGAGCTTGACTGAATTAAAAAAACATGATTCAAAACAGGAGATAATGATCTCTCTTTATCTGAATTATGTGAGGTCAGGAACAGATTAACAGCAGAAACGGTGTCTGCGCCTGAGTGATTTGAACAAGGCTGGGATACGTGGTTGAGAACAGACCATGTCAAAACCTGTCATTCTCTCTGCTGGTCTCCTTGAGAACAGAGAATATGACAAACAAAACGTCATTTTTTTTTTTTTTTTGCTTGGACAGTAAAGGAGGCAGCAGAAGCTCCTCTGTGTTTTTAAACTGTACTGCTTCGTAAATCTATGCTTCTACAATTTATGATTTCAACAAATCAGCACTGTTTTTCCCAAGTCTACATTTGACTAAATGTAAATATAGAAATCCACTTTATTTTAAGCATTGGTTTCCCTCGTTTCATTATCTCCTTCTCTGGCATGACTCAAACAATTGTGCACAAACACACTGTGTTCTAAAGATTCAGGAAAAGCAAAGAAATATTTAAACTCAGTTCTGGCTGTTTACCTATGTGGTCTGAATTCCTGAAAACCTGAGGGGCTTAGGTTGGCTGACCTGTCAGTCGGCAGCAGAGTCAGTGGTGTGAGTCGGTTTCACTTCCCTGACCTCTATCACCCACATGTCTATGTCCAGAGAAGTGCTGACCTCTCAGACACAGGACTGTTCTTCAGGAAAATGACAAAAGTTCCTGCAGGTTTGACTGAGTATTTTTGTGAATATGAAGGGAAAAAATATTTTTAATTGTAAAAATAAGAAAACCTTCTGTCAACACTAGACTCGGTGTGCAACCATCTGTATCAGCCAGTCTTGGGTGAAAGGCAGTGGAGGGGAGAGAAGGTAGAGACAGAGACTAGTCTGTGGTGGATGACTTTGACCCCAGGTTACAAACTGGTTATCCTTTTAGGGACAGGTCTTAAACAGGGGATCTACGAGCCCTAGTGTGTCAGCAAGGTACTGCATAAAATGTGGTGTCATTATTATTTTTTTATGCTATTTACTTAAATATTTTAGAAAATATACCGATTATAGCGGGGCAGCGGTGGCCTGGTGGTTAAGTAGGATAAGTGTCACCTGCTCACTAAGGTGAATGGTCACACATAAGTGTCACCTGCTCACTAAGGTGATTGGTCACATCCTTGTTTCCCTCCTACCCAAATCAAAATACTATTGGGCTCCTGGTAATATTTTTTTACCATTTTAAACCAGGCATTGCTTTATCGGGTTTTCATTATCAGAGGAAAAACCAATAACAATTCTTACAGATATTACAAAATATGCTAATATCGGGCTGATAATATCGGCCGGCCGATAGCTATGAACAACGTACGACACCTCTACTTCCCGTCAACAGTCTTAAATTATTTTCCCATGTGGTGATGGGAGGTGTTGAGACAGAGTGTTCCCTGAGGCTACACAGTTTTATTTTCATTATCCTGATTAAAATAAGCCTCATGATTAAACACCATTATCATTCTTTTTTTTCACCCTTCTGTTACAAGAGCTTTTGTTCCATAAAGAGAATGTTTTTTAAACATTTGCATTACTTTTACTTGCTGTAGATTTTCCTTAAAGTATTTGTAATAAGAAATATATCTACTGTCCTTTTAGTCCATATAAGTGTGATAAGAAATAGCTCTGCTTTTACTTTACAAGAGGTTAGTAAGCAATATACTAATGCAGTGAATGTACAATCTCAACCAGCATAAAAAAGACAAAAACCTCCCATTTCTATATCACTACAGCATCTTCATCTAGAAGGTTCCTGGATGAATAGAACTGGCTGTAAATAAAAAAAGAACATCAACCTGAGTCTGCTTCTCCACTCAACACAACACAAAGGATGAAAAGTGGAGGCACTTTAATGCTGCAGTGTTTTCAGGGACAGTGTTGGCCAGCACGCTGACTTGTTCAGGGAACCATGTACACAATGAATCTGTCCTGGTGTAGACAGGGCTGTGTGTTCTCTAAGTCAGTACAGACACGGATATGTCAGTTATTACAGTAGGAGCTGTAATGCTCACATCAGTGGCGTGTGACATGTGACAGCTGTGGCACATGGAGGAATGCTAACCTGATTACCTGAATTCCTCACTTCCAATGCTGCGAAACCCTTTCTCATCTTTATATTTTCTACTAATTACCACTGCCTTTCCTTCTTATTTCTATTCAATAGGCAAAAATGTCTGCATGCATATATGTATGTTAATTTCATCACAGTATAGAGTACAATGTACAGGTGTGTCCAACTAAAAAGTAGTTGATGTTGCATTGCACATGTAACAATATTCTGAATGCGTTCGTAAGCACTATTGAACAACATGCCCCCGCTAGGTTACTAAATTAAGGCTTTTAAACTGCAGACCTACATTCTCATGCAGGAAATCCATATGTCCTCATACCTATTCACTAAGACATTATTCATGGACAAAAGATCTGTAGGTTAAAATCGACTATGCTTATTCCTTTTGTGTGGCATACAAAGGAGTTCTTTTGCTTTAAAGAGGCTATTTTTAGCTACAGGCAAGACAGAACTGTTGTCCTACTTCCATGTAACAATAAAGAAAGGTCTTCACAGTGTAAACAACATCTCAACAACACACCCGTAAACAAAGACTTTATTAGGAGTGCATGTTCAGCCTTCTCCAAGGCTGTGATTGTCTCCCCTATCACTTTTGATATTGGTGAGACCGTGCAAAAGAGACAGAGACAGAGAGAGAAAGTAGATGCACTCACATCATGAAAGATATTGAGTCCTTGTCCACTGCTGTCCAGAGGCTGCTGCTGTTGCTGCTGTAGAGCCTGGAGATGCTTCTGTTTGGCAGACTGCAGGCACATAGTGATCATCTCTGTACAAGCCAGCATCTTTCACTGGTCAGACACACCTCGGTTGTGCAGACAGCTGATGCTCACAGTGTGAAGTGCGATGAAGGTGTGCAGAGACAATACTGGGGAGCCACTGAAAGAGAGCAAAGGGAGGGAGAATGAAAATGAGAGAGAGAGGGAGAGAGAGAGACAGAGAGTGAGCGAGGGAGAGAGGGGAAGAGAGAGAGTGAGCAACTTTCAGATGATCCGTCTCCTGAGTCGCAGCTATCATCGTGTTCACCTCTACATCCAGGTCAGAGCATCTGACCTGAGCGGAATCTATATGACTTCTTTCGTATTATTTTTTAATGTAGAATGATAAAAACAATATAGATAAAGTGACTTCCTGTATTTGACATCACACCAGCTGATGCTAAATCAAATATTCTATATATTTTTATTTTACATTATTTTCAAATATATGTTAGAGTCATCCTGGTTGTACAGTGATAACTGAAGAAGAGTACTAATATCAGACTCGGCTGTAAAAAAAAAAGAACAATGCTGCCACCTGCTGGAAATCACTCTTTAATATTGAGAAAACCAATAAGTCTAGGTAATAAAAGTGCGTAAAGGCATCAGATAAGGTTATGGTGATTTATTAGATACCAAGAGACAAACAAAACAACACCGAAAAACACATAAAGGCAGGATATCAAATCCACTGCTGCACCTGCGTGTGGTCCTTTGTCTGTAGACTGGCTGCGTATGAATGGGTATCAGGAGTGATTGACAGCTGTTCAACAATTTAAGCATATATATATATATATATATATATATATATATATACTGTGTCTATATGACGTAAGTTTATTTATTTATACGTACTTTTTTCTTTTTCTTTTTCTGTTTCTTTTCTATAGAAGGGAAACCATTGGGCAACAGGCCGAGGGGGCGGGGCTACAGTGTCCGAACTCGATCCCAGGCTGTTTCTCTTCCTGAACTTGAGTCTCTTTCACTTTCGTTACTCCAAAGGTTCGCGGCTGGTCCGTCGCTTTTCTTTACCGAAGAACTTATTGGTGATTTAAATTTATCTCTCTCGAAGCGGTCGCTGTCTGTGGCTGCCCAACAGTCAGTGTGTGTTTTGGAGACAGAGTTGGATGACGACAGGACGAGCTGTGAAGGCTGTCAGTGAACGAACTGCTGAGAGCTGTTACCTGTCCGCTCTCAGGTGTCTCCATGGCTTCGATGGCTAAAAGCAAAGAAACTATAAAGGAGGGTGAGTTCACTAGAAACACTTCAGTGCTGTTCTTGTTCAACCAAACCGAGATTTGTTTTTCAATCATTCAAACATACAGTATGTAATTCTCCCAATCTTAAGTTTCTTTCCTGTCCACAGGTATTTAACATTTTCTTTATAAACAAAACATCAAACTTAGTATCTTAGTAGATTGTACATGAGTCATAAACAGGTAAGCCCTTAAACGAAAGATAGAGTCACATGACCAATCCATATTTGTTGTACTGCGTACCGTTTTCAAACAGATAAGAGCTGTAAATATAGGAAAAAATACCTCAAAGCCCCCAAAGCTTTTGAAAGTGTGAGAAAGAGTGACACCTGTCGTTGAACAGTCTAACTTAGCACCTTAAACCTACATAAAGATATTTACAGACTTTTTTAGTTTGAGTTATGTATTAACACATCATCAACGTCTTCATTCGGACAAACACGCTTTTCTGACTCTTTTCTACACATCATGTAATGTAATTAGAATTATATACATATACTACTGTATCTCTATTGTATTATAATTTAACGGCGGTTCATATATATTTACATATGTATGAATATATAAACAGTTAAATAATATATAAATATAAAATGTATTATAACAGAATATGACAGTATAAGACAGCTATAATAATTCTGTTTATATAAATTAACAAGCATAGTACAAATAAATATATGAAATATATTAATATGTAATACATTAATATAATAGGTTAATATATATATATATTAAGAGGAAAAGTGTGAATATTATTGATATATATACATTTACGTATATATGATATATATATGGTAGCAGGCATAGCATGAATATACAGAAATTGCAGTTATGGCACTGTTATTATAGGGTTATTGCAGATTTACGGCACATTCTCCCTGCCCCACCAGTCATTTGTTCACCCTCCTCCCCCTCAGTTGAACAGTTTAATTGCCCGGTGGACAAAGAAGTTTTTGAGTCTATTGGTTTTGGTCTTTGAAAGGAGCAGCCTGTCACCGAACGGCTGCTCTGATTGCTGATGACAGTGTGTTGATGATGAGAGGCATTGTCCAGGAGGGCGAGCAGTTTGCCAAGTGTTCTCCTCTGCTGCCACTGCCACTGTCACCAGAAGGTCCGGTTTGATGCCGACCACTGAGCCAGAGCTCCTGATCAGCTTTTCCAGTGTGCGTAGGACCTTCTTTGATGTGTGCCATTGACTGACTCTTCCTTTTTCCCCTTGCAGGGGAGCAGCTTGCCTCCTCTCTGAGTGAGGCCCTCAGTAGTGGCAACAGTGAAGAAGCATTGAAGCTGTGCCAGAAGCTGTCACAGCTGTGTTTGCCAGTCTGTGTCACAATCAACAGTCAGGTTTACCCTCAGGAAAACATAAGGTAACTGTGTGTCATTCTTGATCTGATGATCTATCTATCATTCTTAAACACAAAACCTATTTTGGTTTGGTTTTAATAATAGTAATAATAATAATGTAATAGTTGTGGGTTGGTCACCGACAGTCATGATGTGATGAGTCAGCCATGAGTCATTTGTTGCCTGACATGTTGTTATATTGTGAAACATGCATGATTGTTAAACAATAAAACCTGTGTTGATTCCTTTGCTACAGATTAAAGGTTGGAGTCGAAGATGCTCAGTCCGAAAATTACATTCCAGTGACTCTAGACGTTACCCCCAGTATGACAATTGCACAACTGAAGGAGAAGGTACTGATGTGACAGCAGTGTTATAACAGTTATCTATATGTATGTGTTATACACAGTATGTTTTTACACCGTTGGTTTCCGACATTTAGCAACATGTAAATGCATGTAGTGACATGAAGGCCTAAAAAATTGGTCTTTGCAGCTTCATTCAAGTGTATGTTCATAATAACAAAAACAAAGCATTCACTTTTCCACTATAGTCACAATCGTATGTTGTTTACCAGTGGTCCTCAAACTTTTATTAACCAAGTAGGGGCCATTACTGTGGAACAGTAGCACCACCCTGGTTGTTGGAGGATCTTTAAATATTCAAAATAAAACATCTTTTAGACTGTATTCTGTTAGTATTGGAGTCTGCATGACTTTTTGCCAGATTATCTTTGAATGATGTAAGTAAAATCATTTGACTGGATTGTCTTTGAATGAAGTAAATTTGTAAAAATTAGGTACATTTTTCACTTTGTCCCATTGCGGACCAGTAACAAATGTCTTGCATTTTTCACTTTGTCCCATTGCGGACCGGTAACAAATGTCCTATGGACTGGTACTGGTCCGCGGACCTTGGATTGGGGTCTCCTGTATTATGTAATTATTTCTTCTAACTATGTTATATCAATAGATACAAAGCTAGGATTATTGAATAGGGCTGGGGAAGTTAGAGCACATTTACACAGATTTTCTTTGTTGATCAAGCCATTCCTCCGCAGGTTAGCCAAGACTACGGGTTCTCCTCTCTGCTGCAGCGCTGGGTGATCGGCAAACGACTAGCTAAGGACAAAGACACGCTGTTTAACCACGGTATTTGTCAGAATGGAGACCAGGCGTTCTTGTTCATCCTTTCGGCCCAGGCCACTAGGCTCACGCGGCATCAGCACAAGCTGGAGCAGGAACAACATAGGCTTGAAGGTCAGCATTATGACGAAGCTACAACAACAAACTTTTATGCTTTTTATTAATGGGAAGATTGCATTCCTTAGGCATTATGGAGTCCATGGAGTCGATTCACCTTTTACCCAGAGGGTTGGGTGCAGGGACGGTGGAGAAGACTCAACCTGATCCTGCTCTATCTTCTCCAAAACCTCGAGTTAACCCTAAACCTCCTGTGATTCCAAACCCCAAGGTCTGAGTGCAAATTCAATCTGATCTCAAGAAACTGAAATACCTGTAATATTTTCAAAGTGATCATATAAGTGTGTTTCCAGTGGCTGTTTAAACCTACAGTGTATACCATGTGTGTTTGGGTGTAGCTGGGCTGGACCTGCACTCGATGCACCTTCTTGAACAAACCAACACGTCCTGGCTGTGAGATATGTGGCGGGGACAGGCCCGAAGGTTACAAGGTGCCTGAGATCTACAAACCGGACCAGGGCGAGGGTCAACGAAATAGGAGCTGGCAATGATGCTGTATGAAGAGGTAATTGTGCTTGTACTTCAAATGTACAAGGAAAAGTACCAGGTGTAGTGTACCTTTTACAGTCACATGCTGATACAAAGTCAGTAAAGGTGTAATACATCTCTCCCATGTGGTGACAAAGGCTCAGAGGGAAGAGCGAGAGCTGAACTACTTGCACTTATTGGCAACAGAAGACCAGAACCTCATCCTCAGCACCACACAAACCGATTGTCCGGTCTGCTTTTCTACCTTGGAACCAGGAGAGGGCATTGTCCTCCGAGAGTGTCTTCATACCTTCTGCAGGTCAGAGAGGATATGGCTGATGATTTAAAAAAATATTAAAATTGACAATTAAACTAATTGCAGTTAACTATGATGAATTGAGACAAATCAATATATAAAAAAAACTTAAGAGAAGACATAAGAGCATGTAGACGTATCTGTGGAAGGTCACAGTCATCCAGGTCATCTTATCTGAAGCAGTTACGTTAAGGTCAAATGGACTGGTACGTTTCCTGAAGATATTTCACCTCTTCATCCAAGAGGCTTCTTCAGTTGTGACTGACTGCTGGGAAAATTCTGGTATTTAATCTTGGAGTGGCTGAATACCTACCAGTCCAGTTGCCCATGATGTAACTGCTTCAGAGCAGGTAGATATATATGGTTCTTACACCTGTTTTTATTTGTGACTAATCCAAATGATGGAAAAAGAGGAAAATAAATTATAACTCAAAATTTAGCTTCTTGAATTTGACGGGTTTTAGTCATTACTGTCTTGACTGTGTGTCGAGAGTTGTTTTCAAAACCGTCAGTGAAGTTGTTGGCCTCAACAATCTTCATCAATCTATAGCCTCTCACGATCCCTTTGACATTTGTCGGAGACTTACGTGATTCTAGTCAGACGCAAGCCAAACGTAGATGTCTTTCTGCCTCTGCGTCAAAGTACATCAAAACTTTTAAACTGATTAGTTGCGCAAATGAATTTTCACCTTGACATAACCTGATTAGTTGCGCAAATGAATTTTCACCGTTGACGCGGTTATGTCAAGAGCCCTGATTAAAATATTTTTTTGTACAATCCCATTTTTTTGTCCCATTTTGAAGAGAGTGCTTACATGACACAATAGTCAACAGTCAAGATGCTGAGGTTTCCTGCCCTGACGCGTGTGACAGCAAGCTGCTTGACCGAGAAATCAAAGAGGTGAGACCGAAGACCAAGACAAGATTGAGCTTCTAGAAAAATTATCACAGGTAACTGGGTATGATTATTGATCTTCTCACATGTTCTCTCTGTCTATGGTGCTGTCCTGAGGACAGCTGCTCACGCCAGAGGAGCTACAGCGGTTTCTGGATTTGCGTTTGGGTATTGCCGAAAGCCGCGCTGAGCACAGCTTCCACTGTCAGACTCCCAACTGTCGAGGATGGTGCGTCTACGAGGACGAAGTCAACGAATTCCTGTGTCAAATCTGCAATGAAACCAATTGCATCCTCTGCAGGGTAGCTTTGGTTTGGCTTTTAAACGTTAAAAATTCTCAGCAAAATGCATTTTACATCATTCAGATTCTTCTTCTTTTAAGGCCATCCATAATGGTATGAACTGTAAGGACTACCAAGATGACCTGCGTATAAGAGCCCAGAACGACCAGGCGGCACAGCAGACCAAGCAGATGTTGGAGGTAGGACCAGACTGGACCTGAATGGATCATGTTCTGAACTGACAATAGCATCGGGACTGAGACAACTGAGTCTGTTTTGCATGTTTTCCCCCCTGAATTCCTTAAATTGAATTTAACTGTAGTAGTAAGTTGTAATAAGCTAGTTGTAATTCATACTTTTTTCACTTCCTTAACATCAAATTGATTACTTTTCCGCTGTATTTGATTCACTTAAGGCCCTACTGCAGAACGGAGAAGCCATGAAATGTCCACGCTGTGACATCATTGTCCAGAAGAAAGACGGCTGTGACTGGATTTGCTGCTTGATGTGCAAGACGGAAATCTGCTGGGTCACAAAACAAGCTCGCTGGGGCCCCAATGTAAATACACACACACACACACACTTGTGGTAAACAAGACAACGGAGATCCAGGAAACCAGTAATTGAACTTTATTGATCCCCTATTTGGGAATCAAACCCCCGCTTTATTTACACTCATTGTGTTGTAAACATTCTAATATACAACAGCTGACAAAAAAATACATATTAAAAGTTTTTTTACGCCTTGTCCGTTTTTCCTAGGGTACTGGTGACACTTCAGGCGGTTGTCGATGCCGAGTGGACAATCAACGCTGTCACCCGAACTGTCAGAACTGCCACTGAGACAAACACTAAGGAACAAGTTCAACAACCCGCCCAGACAAATCTGGACATAAGCTGCTTTCTGACCTGCTTTCACGTCTTCTGCAGAGGCTTGTCTTACAAACAGGAGCCGTCCTGAAGCTCTTCCACTGACTTACCAAAGCTATGTAACCTGCCAGCTTTAATCATTACTGTAAGTAATACGCTTCGGCTTTCATACCCAAAAATCAACATTCACTAAGTCTGACAGACTTTTTGGAGCGTTAACTTTGAGTACATTCAGGGAGTCAATTACAAAATGCACATTCTCATGTTAAGTGTTCTCTAGGTCGGATTTAGCACCATCTGGTGGTGAAGAAAGTTTATACCGTTATACCCTTATATCTTGGAAGTACAGTTGACCCTTTTTTTCCAATATTTTTGATGTGATTACAATTTGGTTTACAGTTTAAAGTAATCATCATTTATATTTCATGGTGTTTTTATTTGTTTACTCTATAAAAAATGAAGTTTTTTGTTAATAATTTTAGGAATCTTTTTACTCATTTTACCTTTATGAATTTTGACACATGGTCTGAAATTTTACTGCACAGTATTTACTTTATAATGAAGGAATCAACTCATGTCCTGAATAGTATTTTTCAGAAAGAAAAGGAATGTTTTTTCCCCTCTTTGGGTGTAAAAGCATATTAGCAGATTATTTTACATACGGGGAGGGTTTTGATTTTATTTGTTCAAATAAATGGATTCAAATAAACCTGTTAATAAATGGATGTGTGATGTGTTTACGTGTTGGAAATCACCAGATGAATAACAATTTCTACTAAAGTTTATTCTCTGGAACCACTTTACATTAGTATGAGATTCATTATCACAAATATAAACATAAAAGCAGATAAATTAGTTAGTGCAATTAAAAATGAACGAAAACCCAGAGTGCACAGTGAGGTTACAGTGACGCCGATCAGCTCTTCTCAAACACACCCTGAAGGTCGAGTTTGTGGTCATCTCCATTTTGATCTTTCGTTTGCAGGTCTCCTGCCCGCTCAATCAGCAGTTAAATACAACCGGGCTTCACTGTGTTCGTTTTTTATTTTCTATTAGAGGAAAAATACGCCTCTTCACAATGCATTTTCTTTTCAATGTCCAATTCCGGTGACTACACTTCTGTTCAACTCTGAGCATGTGTGTAAACCAGATTGTAGAAAAACTTATTTCAAATAGCATCTGCTTAGCATTTTAAAATTTGAATGTAACTAACAATTAGCTGAAAATAAAAGTTTAACTGAACTATACCTTTGAACTAATGTAAGAAAACTACACCCATGATTAGAAGCAACTTCACCCACTGTGAAAACGTTCAAACTTACTTTACTGAAGTGTAACTTTTAAACCTTAGTGTCCTAATCCTAACAGTTATCTTTTATTTACATTTGTACTATGATTACCACTGACACCAGAAATGTTGAGTCCAAAAAAAATATGAACAAAACTGAAATATAAAGGCAGAGGCGAGGGATCCAAAAAAAAGCAATAAAATGTTGAACCTAAAAAAAAAGTGCCTGAGTGACATGGTCACATCTGTGTGTTCAGATACTGACAGATACCTACAAATACAGAAAAAATACAAAGAGAGGATTTCACCCACCCTCCATTTGGTCTCAGTCTTGGTATTGAAGATGTAATACACTGGGTGTCAACAAACACACACACACAAACAGTCAACGGCTCTCTTCGTTGGCAGCAGTTTCAAGTGTAGTGAGTCCAACAAGCCTTTACCCTGACCCTGTGTGAGCATACGTTTATATCAGGTTATACTAATACCAAATATAAACAAACTTTACCTTATAATATTGGCTAAAAATACAGTCACTTCATTATAACTGAATGGATTTCTCTTCTTTAGCAGAACAGCAGCAGATTTAGTGCCAGACTCCAAGTCTCTGGTCTGATGCATTAAGAAGTTCTTAGAGAGAGAGAGAGGCCCGTTCACTAGCAGTGACAGTCAAGCAAAGCTATTCAAGGAAATAGGTCCAGTTTTGGGGCCCACTCCAGAGCTGAGTTGACCACAGCCAGAGCCGCTGCCCCCAGAGCCACAGTCAGACCCATCACGGCCAGTCGAACGAAGCGTCGGGTTGCAGAAGGTCGGGCCACTGTTACGGCCGAGTTGACTGCTGCGTTTTCCAGTGCTGTCTGTCTTTGCCTGCGCCGGCGGCGCAGAACTGAGTCTGGTCGCTGCTGAGTGGACGCAAGATCAAAGTCCTTAAATGTAGAGGTTGCCATGCTGAGAAAGGTAAGTGTGAAGATACAGAGAGAGAGAGAGAGCAGAAGAAGGGAAAGGGGAAAGAGAAACTGTTAATGGGAAACAGTGAGTAACTGGTGGTGAAATGTGCATTAATGCAGGTTCTCGTCACAGTGCGTCAGCGTGTGTGAATAAGGATGCAGCAGAGGAACGTTTGTATCACTGTGAGGGTCACTCCATCAGTACCTGTCGTGTGAGGAGGCTTCTTTAGCCAGTTCAGACGGAGGAAACTGAACAAAAAGGTCTCCTGCTCGGCTGATGAGCGTTTCATACGGCAGATCCTGGGGAATCTGAGACAGCAGGTGATGGACCATGGCCATGTCACATTCACACTCCAGCACCTCCTCCTGTCTGTACAGTACAATCTGCAACACAGGAATGAAGAAATAACCAAGCACACATGACTGTTCAGATTGTTGATCCTTCTCTTGTAGGTCGCGTTGGATAAAAGCGTCTGCTAAATGCATAAATGTAAATTATAAATCATGATTAATTGAGATAGATCTACATTCCTAAACATTCCCAGAACTTATGTCTGTATATTGCTGGAACAGAAAAGCAGCTAACAGTAGCTACATTCTGTGACTAATCTAAATGAGAGAATTACTTTATGATGTTATACTGTAATAGAAAAATGTCAAGAAAAATGCACAAAATATAAACCAAAATGTAGCTTCATTCGGTTCCGGATTTCAGTCAGGATGTTTTCTTCAAATTATTTAAAAAAAAAAATTTCTCAACGATTAATCAAACTAAATTTAACAATGTGTTAAAGTTTGTGTTTTTGATAATGCTGTCTGTGAACTCACCACAGCAGCAAAGTAAATGGCCATGAGGGGATGGCAGGCCAGGAAAAAGTCATACAACCGGACGACGTGACGGAAATCTGACAGGACGTGGCCAAACCAGGTGATCAGCCAGCTGAGAGCAAAGACTGTGCCCACTTCAGCCCTGGGAGACAAAACGGAGCAGAGACCCTCTCACATCAGGTACATACGCTGCTGGTCTGTAGTACCAAACACTGTTTCACTCATGTTACACAGTACAACATTTGTGACCAAATTACATGCAGGGCTCGAATTGCATTTTTTGGTATAGGTGCACTGGTGCGTATAACAAAAAATTACTTGCACCAAACAAAAATTACTTGCACCAGCAAAATTACTGAGTCAGGCAAAAAAAAATGTTAACAAAATATTTTATACCTTTTGTTGTGTTAAACTTGCTCTGATGTTGTGGGGCCAAATAAACTCACAAAAACAAAGACATTCTACATGTAAAAATGTTAATGCTGCAGCCGTGGGCCAAACCTGACCGGTTGTGTTAAACTTGCTCTGATGTTGTGCTCTGATGTTGGGGCCAAACATGACCACCGGATCATGTGCACGCTGTAATTGATACAGGTACATCTGAAAGCAGCGCTTCGGAAAAAAGACTGGTCTACATTTTGCACCGCCCCGAACTTTCTCGGACAGTGGTGGATTCCGGAATGCCTGAAATTCCAGAAACTCAAGAAACTCTGATTTTTGGTTACCAGCTTTTACCATATTTGGGGTTCCGAACACATGATTTGTGTCACTTGATCATCAGAGAATTATCAGGGGGGTGGGGCGGGGGAGAGCAACTTGTTTCCAGGGGAAGTTACGTAATACAAGGAAGTGAAAAGAAACATAACCCTCGCACCGCATTGGCTGATTCTGGTTTACCAACGATGTTTAATACTTAACACAAAGAAAAAGATAGCTCTTTGTTGGATAATTCTACTGGTGGTATCAGTAGAAAAAGCTACTTGCACTGGTGCAAGTTGGGTTCCAAATTATGTGCACTGCTACAATTTTACGTGAAGAAACTGGTGCATGCATGTGGTAATTTGAGCCCTGACATGGTTTCATCTTTGGTCACAAAAAAAAAAGATCTTACTGTTGCATGAAATCATGGACCTCGGGGTTGACTCTCTCAATGATTGGCATCAAATAGTTGAGAATATGTTTGGTGTTGTCCATTGTAGGATCCATGAAGTCCCTGGACAGGAGAGGGAAATGGTAAAAGAAGTGTGTCAACCTCTTAAACGTTACATAAAAACCCCACTGTTTTCACAATAAGTCACCGCAGCGTCTCTCCTCCTCACCCAAGGTTTCCTCACCTCTGCTATTCTCCTGTATATTTCACCCGTCTTAAAAGTTTATATTGGATATTTACATGTTTACCATGACGCCCATACAAACAGAGTAAGTGTGACAGGTTACATTAAACCCAATAATTAGTAAGTAATAGAGTACAAAGCAGGAACACAGGAAGACTATGTGAACACACAGGCAGTGAGCGTTTTGTAACATTACATACAGCACTAACCTGAGGTGATGTGTGGAGAGCTTCTCTACCAGAGGAGTTGCGATGCGCTCTCCCAGGACTAATAAAAAAGTGACAACGATATCATGGTATCCCTGGTAGTAGTGCAGTTGAGGATTACGTTTCAGAACTCTGAGGATGATGTCGATGAGTTCTTCCTGAAGACCTTCCCGCTGCTCATCTGGCATCCCTGCGTTGTCATTCAAAATATCAGTTTTATTTTTAATCAGAAGCTCCACTGTCATCCACAACTGTTCTCTGATTTATGTGTCTAGCTAAAGGTAAGCAGAGTAGTACAAAAGAAATAGCAGTGTTACTGACCTCATGAAAATATATAAATGTACAAAAAACACAAACTTTTAAATAAATATCATAATCTGATTTTTTAATTAATGTTTGTACTGACATTTCACATGAACCCAAGTGTTTATTAGTGTTTACCAGGTGGGAATCTCCTTAGGGAACGTTGGACATCCAGCAGGACCTGGTTGTAATCTTTGTTATTTTCCCGCTCCACCGTCTCTGGACAGCAAACATCAGCATTAGCAGAGGTACGAGTTAAAACTTTGGTCAATTTCGATACATAGTTTTGTTTTTAGAAGTCCACAAGTGCTGTCATTATGAACAATGTATTAGTTTGACATGCACTTTAGCAACTCTGCAGTGTGACTGCAGAGTTGCTAAAGGTGTGACTAGATAGGCCTAGATCTTTTCACTGTTACCAAGTGGTGTAGCTTTAGGGAGCAGTGCAAGTTGCATTGCAGTTGTACGGTAATGATAATCTGCTTAAGAATCTGCAAAAGAACTGGTTCAAAGCTTTCTTTTTGGGTTTTTGTATTTACAGACCTCAACCAATGGAACTGAATGGGATCGAAATGACACTACATGAGCTAGAGCCATACAGTACGTTAATATTGACTAATAACATATAGGCGCACAACGTTAGTTACCAACTCTCTAATGTACTTGTCATCTACTGTATGTGATCAGACTTCAACAATAACAATAAATGTTACAGTAAGTTCTATTTTAATAACACATGCATTTCAAAAACTGTAAGTAAATATAACACCTGGCTCCTGATCCAGGACTTGGGCAGGAACGTTAAGCAGACGAGGCCACACTTGACAGCGGATCTCATCTGTCAGCAGCCCCCCTTCACTTATAGCCATCCTCCTTAAAGCAGCTACGTCCACTGGACTGGCGTTCAGGGCCTGTGTTATATCCGCTATTTTCCTCTTCCGCCTGCTGCCCGAGTCTGACACACACACACAAAGTGAATGCACAGCTAGGAGCAGAGAATTTAGCCACCTGCGAACAAGATTTAGCCCAAATTACAGCCAATGAGCTTAGTAACATATGATCTTACCTTGTTGTCCATTCATAGCAGACGCGGCATCAGCACTTTTACATGTCGTCATTTTGTATCCTCGTTCTAGTAGCGCCTCTCTTAAAATAATGCCATTGTCCTCATCCTCTGTCTGACTAATTGTATGCTTACATGCTAACTAGCTGCAAAGTTGAAGCTAGCCGGGTAATTAGCAAGGCTAGCCTTAAAAAAAAAGAAGCACCCAACGCACGTTAGCTTCACAGCGTTAGCTTATCATTAGCACAGCGCTTTTGCACGGCTCCGGTTCCGACACAAGCATTGTAAGAAATGCAGCCATTATCGACGTGAAGAAGATAGAGCACAAAAGATTCAATGCATTTAGCTGCTACATATTGACAGTAATGGAAGTGTTTACGATCCTCCCCGCACACAGTGACTCAGCCATAGGCAGGGTTAAGATGATGGAGAAAAAAATGCACCGCAAGTATGTTTGTTGTTTCTGCTCCGCCCATTATATTATTATTATTATTATTAATAGTACTTATACCTGTTGCTGTTAGTACTGACTTAAATAAAAAGCACATAATTAGTAGTAGTAGTTTATAATTGGACCAAAGAACTTCCCAGTGTTACGATGTTCATGCAAAGAAACAGCAAAAATATATTTAAAAAGTTTTTATATTTTAGTGGTAAACACTTCTATTTTTGTCTATTTTAATGGCTTAGTAAACAACTTATTATATTTATTATTATTTTAAATATAATACTACTAAAAAGAAAATACTCAATATTTGATGACAAACCACTAAATTTATATGAATCCACTTTAGATGCAAAAATATAATTATAAATAGAAGAAATAAAGACAGAATATAGAATAGGACTACATTCTCCTGGCAATGATAAGTTTAAATAACAACCAATAGAATGTATTTGAAAACATTTTATTTTCACAACTTTTTAAAAAGAGCATTCAAACAATTACTTGCAAAAGCAGATAATTTCACTTCGTGCATGCAACTTCATGCAGGCCTCCCCTGTGACTGTTGACACCACAGAGGGATGGCGCGCCACACCTATAGAAACCGTTGCGATACATACAGTATTGCACATTGTGATGATGTAGAACATTATACATCTCCCTTTCACCCTTTACACCTCTGACTTCTGGTACAACTCTGAGCTCTCTCACATCCAGACGTTTGCAGATGACACAGCCATCGTGGGGTATATTAGGGAAAACAGGGTCGAGGAGTATAGGCGCCTTGTGAGGAACTTTGTTGTCTGGTGTAAACCTGCAGCCCAACACCTCCAAGACCAAGGAGCTGGTCATAGACTTTGGGAAATCCAAACCCGAACTGAGACCAGTTCTTATTGAGGTCATCCAGCCATCTCTCGTTCCATCCATCACCAGGATGTTGCACGTTGATAATGTATACAGTATTGTGAGGTAAAGGTTGAGAAAAAGTTTTTGCTAAACTAATTATCATAATACATTTTCACACAGACATGGGAAGGTTGATATGTTTCATCTTTACAGCTCAAAGAAGCTGGTTAGTAACCATTTTGACTTTTGTGCCTGTATTCTTTTGACAAAATAACTCAGGAAGTATTTAAGTATTTATGTTTCTTCCTCAGTCTGTGGTGGATACTGGTTCAACAGGTGACTAATTTCGTAGGTTTTGTTCTTTGTCTGATGATTCATTATAACTGGGGAGTGGTTTGTGGTGAAATGAAACACAAAAGTCAGACTTCCCATGCTACCCTTCTTCTCTGTACTGAGCAGTGAGCACTCCGAGCATCAGCTCACCAGCTTCAGATTAAAACATCCGGAGCAAAGGAGCAGTGCATTTGTTTCCTGCAGTACGTATGTGGTAAGTGCTATTGGTATCAGGTAGGTGCTATTGTTTGATTGTTTGTTTAATTCTTTCTTTCTTTCTATTCTTCTTCCTTTTTTTTAGCGCCCCATTTTTGTTTTCTTTCGCCTGTCTGGAAATCAAGTGCTTAAAGGTCGACGACATAAAGTCAACAAGAGAATTACTAAAATAATATAGAAAATTGAAGATTATATTTTGTGTATGCTAAATGTAATTGAAACGTATATAAGAAAATTTGGTCCCGCTATCCTAATAAGTGAATGCCGACGTTGTGTGTATAATATCATTTTGATACTTATGTACTTACTTGTGAATGTGGTCAATCATTCATTTCTAAGGTTTCCGCTGAGTTTCGATTCTGCCTCCAGCATCATAAAGGAGCAAACTCATGCTGCGTTCGCGTACGATTACAAAGCTGGGAAACTTCATATGTGGTGGACGAGATGAACAATACTAAGTGCCGATCGTTATTTGTAAAAGAGGGAACTTCTTGAAACGTTGTTGATTTAATTATCCATAGAATTGTGCTAGGATATCAATATCATCATTTTTTTTCATTACAGTTTTATTACAGTTATCATGGCTGTGTGTTTGTATGGCTTTTTAACCAACCAAGTGCCAGTCAAGTGTCGAGGAATCACGGCTACGTGGATTTTTAATGCTTTTTTAAAATGTTTTGCTTGAAGGCGACGACAGTGAAACATTCGCATAAAATAAATGGTACAATGTATATTATATATAATCTATATATATATAAAGTACTTTGTATGGCAGTTGACATATCTGTATCTCGTACACACGCACAATCACAAACCCATAAGACGTGTTACTAATTGGAATTGTTGTTAAGTAAAAAATAAAGTTATTATTTTATTATAATGTCTAATGTTTTGTTCCTACAGAAACCAAAAGGCTTCACAATGTTTCAGTAAGTTTGTACTCAAACCATACAAAACCATGGAAAAGGTGACACCAAACAGACAGAGAAGAAGACATGGTAATTATTCAGTAGTAAAATGCAACCAAGTAAAAACCAAAAAATAAAGCTATAAAGGTCATATTACATGTTCTCCCTACTTCTCTTTTTGTTTTGTTTGTTGTTTGTTAACCACAGGTATCACACATCGGACTAGCAAAGATGATGACAGCCAAAGTGCAAAAGGCATAAAACACAAGAGAGCACAGACAGATAAAGAACAAGAGGGCAGAAGAGCTGGGAAGGAAAGAGAGGAGGTAGTGGGAAGCATGTCTGGTGGAGTCAGAGGACGAGTAGCTAGTTCTGACTTCAGAAGAAAAAGAGAAAAGCCTGTGGATAAGGGTGGTGCAGTAGGTGGAAGAAGTGGATGGCCTGTAAGACGTAACGAAGGAGGAGGAGGAGAGAGAGGAAGAGGAGGTGAGTTTAGAAAGGCCAGAAGTGATGGAGAAGACAGAGTTGTACAGAACAGTAGTGAAACGAGGGGCGGTCGTACAGAGAGACAAAAAGTTCCGGTAGGCGTTAGTGGAAAACCAGGTCCAGAAGTAAAAGAGGGAGCAAGAAGAAGGTTTCCAGAAATGTCTGTAAGGACAGGAGGACAAAGTGTGGATGGAAGAGGTAGGAACCAGGATCAAAGAAGATTCAGTTCAACAGAGAGACAAATGGGAAATGGATTGAGATCACAATCCACAGGAGGAGATAAAGCTTCATGTGGCAATCGATTAGGCTACAAGACACTTGAAGAACTTTCTGAACAAGAGCCATCTGTGGTGGCCATCACCCTCTCCTCCAACCCTGCCCTTAAAGAGCACATGAGTGCGACAGAAATGAGGCCGGATCTGGTGGAACTCCTGTGCCTGGTCCTTAGCAAAGCCTTTAAATCGCAGGGGGACAAAGGGTCTTTGCGTCACCTGGCAGGCATCATTAGGAATTCAGGTTTTTTCCGCACCGTCCTGCCTCATTTTCTCGTGGGTATGGGTTCAGAGTTCAACCCTGTCCGCAGGGCAAAACACCCTCAGAATCTGGAGAACATCCTAGTCATTCTTAAAGAGGTAAATTGAAAGAAATACTTAAGTTCTGTAAACACACACATAAATTCAACAGCAGTGTCCACCACTGGTCTTTATGTACGGATATATCTCCATCTATTTTTGGACAGTATATATTTGGACAATTATACCGTAGGCCAACCTTTAACTTATGGGCACCACAAATTCTTTGTTTTCAATTGTTGGTGAATATTCTACCAGTGACATGAAACAATCCTCACCCTGTCTAGGCTAGTTTTAACTCTTTGAGAGTCGCTTCAAAATCTTCTGGAGATTACCTTAAATTTAAGGGAGATACAAACTTGTTTGTTGCTTGTTTCAACTTTTGTAATGTGTATTATTTGTTTGTTCTGACTGAGACATGCACAAAACCGAAACGACTCCAAAATAACAATTGATGTAAAAGATTATAACAGATTTTTAGGCTTTTTCAACAGTTGAGATCCACAGATTCTTAAGGATTAACCACTGTATTCCTTCTATTTAAATAACCAGTTGTACATATGCCTATATGAAATATTTCTTTTAGGTTCTTACCACCTTCCCTGCCAGTTCACTCAAGGCAGTGACTTTGGTACTGACTCTGCTTCAGTCCTCCATGCATACACTGAGAGCATCAG